GACCAGACCTGGCCCGAACCAGCCCAGTCCAGTCCAGACCCGATCCAACTCGGTTCAGAACGGCCCGACCTTGTTCGGCTTGACCAAGTTATCCCGGTTCGTGCCCAAGATGGTTTCCGAGCTGCCCGAGGAGTCCGGTTCACATACTGAAGGTCCTAGGCGATCCGTTCGTGATTCAACACTCGACTAGAGTCGACAAAGGCCAAACCCTTCAACCGATTGGGTTGTGGTAGACAGACGATCTCCATCAACGGAAATCAGAAACGTCTCTGAGTTGGCAAAAATTTTAACCGTAAGTTCTAATCCTAACTATAGATTCTGCTGCGTTAGGATTTATTATTCAATAGATTTGAATGTACACATTGTCGACGTTCCTAATAGAACCCAACAAGGCGACCCACGTGTATCCCACCGAGCCCCCCGTCGTGGGCAAGTTTCGAGTGCTCACCCTGAACAATTGTATGAAGAACCAAATATATGTCCTCGATCCCCGCACAAAGGTATGCAATTCCACGACCCATTGCCTCGAATTGTCAACCAAACCCCTCGGCTTGACGATTCAGAGCGTCAATGGCGACATCGCCTGTCGTCTGCAACATCGTTTCTTCGCGATCTCACCGTGAGTCGTCCTGGTCTCTGATACCAACTGTTGTAGCGCAACGTACAAATGGGAAATAAGAGAAGAGAAATCTATCTCAAATACGTAAGTTTCTTATGCAAATTAATTCAACTGTCTAGAACAAAAGAGAAGAAATCCTTAAACAAAACTCCTCAAAGCCCTAGATTACTAGCTTGTCCAACATGACAAAAATTCTAAGAATGTAGTAAATAAATAAGTTTCTTAACAAATCTAGAGTACCAATAATAATAATCAAAATAAAGGAAATAAATTTAATTAATTAAAAATCTCCATTCTCCATCATTTAGACCCAAGACTCAAGAAGCTCACATCATCACCTCCTAATGGTCCCTGCCCTAGCCCTATAAATACACCATTAACTCTTGGGATTGAGAAGCCACTCACTCATATTTACACGCTCAATTCAGTCGGCCCTAGTGCATTCCGATCGAGTTTTGTCTCCGAGATTTTTTGTTCCACGAAGACAAACAGAGAGGTGTCGGGTCATACGGCAGAAGGCTCGAGGCATCTCGGCAACCCGACACACGCCCGCGCACCACCCGTCCGCGCTTGACGAGCCTCAGCCGCACGCAAGTAGCGGCAGTCGAGACGCAGCCGCGAGCTCTGCTCACGCACGCGTAAGCAGCCACGCTTCACCCACGACAAGCCATGACCATCCGACCCCCGTGTGCACGACCAGCGAACTCCAAACCCAACGTTCGATTCCAACAACTGGTAAATCAACCCATCTCGATCAACAAAAATCTAAAACGTCTTAGAGTCCACGAATTTTAAGCCATAAGTATTCAACTTGAAACCTCAGTATCCGTTGCGTATATGTTTAGTGGTGTTCACTTAATTCGTGACATTCGAACTCCGCTCGACCTTCCTTGTGGTTGTATACAACTAGTCAGTTTGCTCGGCCTCAGGGCCGGCCCTAGGGTAGGGCGGGCCGGGCGATTACCCAGGGCCCCCAGGGCCCACTTTTATGTATCTTTTAATATATATATATATATATATATATATATATATATATATATTAACTATATAGTAAAATATTAAATACAAAATTAATCTTAAATCTTAATTTGTATTCTTTAAACAAGACTTTTCATATTTTATCTACCTTCTAAATTTCATGACAAAATTAAATAGTAGTTATTATTAATTAAATTAATTTTTTACATATTTTGTCTTATTCTTTTAATACTTTGTTAATATTTTCTTCTTGCTTGAATATACAAAATGTTATTTATGATTGCACAATTAGTGATAAACAATAAAAGAGTTAAATGAATTCAACTCATTTTCATACGAGTTTGAATTTGGATTTGTTATAACTTTGTTAAATATAAAATAAAAACTAATATTTTTCAATAAAAAAATCTATATAACTATAACTGCACATTATGTACTTCACTAAACTTAAGTCATATATTTAAAGTAAATGAAAGTTTGGAGCTTTGAGAGCGTATTTTTTGTTCTTTGAATGAAAAGGATTTTCTCTTTTGTCATTTGTGATTCTTAAGAAATTTCTCAAATATTATTTATAAAAATTAGCTACATTTTTATTTTAAATTCACTGTTTTTATTATTGCGAGTTATATTATTATTATTATTTTATTAACTTAAAAAAATAAAAATAACCAAAGGCAACATTTAACACATTTCGCCCAGGACCATATAAAGTTCAGGATCGGCTCTGCTCGACCTGGTTAGTTGGTTTATTGGATTTGTTCTATCTGGTATGACATCCCATATCAGAATAGATAGAGTAATGTAGTATTTATACAATTATAAAAGAAAATATCAGTAAGTTTAATGATATTGTTGGTTATTTTGCAGATATATTCATGACTGTTAGTAGAAATAGCTTATAAAGATCCTATAATCATGAAGTTTGACTGTTTGTTTGGCTAGAATATTTCTAAGTGTTCAATAAAATAGACGTTTTATCAATTAAATTAAGAAGAATTTTGCAATATATTGATGTATTAGGCTCCAACAGGTATGAATGTTTCTTATGAGAACGTCAAAACAAAAATGAAAAAAAATAATTCTTGAATCGTCTAACATAAATAAATAAAAACAACTAATGCATCTATAATATACATTAAGTTCTTATTTAGTTATTTAGTATTTTTTTCATTAAGAACCCATTTTTCATATATATTTGTTGGGGTTGTAATATGTTATTTAATTCATTCTTTCATATGAAGTCATCATTATGTTATTTTNTAAATTATTAATTTAATTTACTAAATTTACTCGATAAAAAAACATTCAATATGACGTGGATTGCACGTAGATTAAATCAAAACATAATAACAAAGTCGGGTGCAAAACTTTGGTAGGAATCGCCTCAAGCTAAGTATGTAGCCTCTTTATTAGCAGAAACTTTGGTAGAATCGCCCCAAGCGTAGGTATGTAGCCTCTTTATTGGCAATGCACTGCACACACGTATAACATGCATCTCCCTTACCCCTCCACTTGTACGACATGCAGCACAAGTAGCATCCATCACATTATATTCACTACTAACCAACTAATCCAACAACACACGAACATTAAAAACACAATTACACAAATAACACATTCATTTCCATTCATTCATTCGTAAGTCGAATTAATTAACTAGGAAAAGCACATGATCAAATCCAAATACCTCATCACCATCTTCCTCCTCCTCCTCCTCTCTCTACCTCTATTAATCCTCATCACCTCCTTCAAAATCAAAACCGCCGTAAACCCCATCCCACCGGGCCTCACGATCCGGCCTGGATACACTTCCTACGAGGCCTACATCAGCCGGCAGCTGAACAAGACCCTCAACCCCAGGCTCCGCAAGATCTGGACAACCCGCGACTGGGAGCGCAAGATCCGCGTGTTTGCCGCCTTTTTCGAGCACCTCAAGAACAAAAACCTGCTGTCCAATTCCTCCCGGGCCCTCTGCGTGGGGGCCCGAACGGGCCAGGAGGTGGAGGCCCTGAGGCGGGTTGGGGTGTTTGGGTCCATCGGGATCGACCTCGTCCCGGCACCCCCGCTGGTCGTGCACGGGGACTTCCATAGCCAGCCTTTTGGGGACGCCAGCTTTGACTTTGAGTTTTCTAATGTGTTTGACCACGCGCTCTACCCGGACAGGTTTGTGGAGGAGATCGAGCGGACACTTAAACCTCGGGGCGTGTGTGTGCTCCACGTGGCGCTGTCCACGCGCTCGGACAAGTACTCTGCTAATGATCTGCGAAGAGTGGGCCCGCTGGAGAAGCTGTTTCGGAGTTCCGACCTTGTTTATGTCCGCGCGGTCGATGGGTTTGGACTAGACACGGAGGTTGTTTTCAGGAAAAGGCTTTCGCGTTTTGTTTTTTGGTGAATATATATGATTTTTTCTTCTTTAGAATTTCTTTGCCTTTCTAATTCTGAATGGCAACGTTGTTCAATTAATCCCAAGAGAAGTGAGTGAAATTAATGTCATGCTATTTGTTACACTGCTTCTGTTGTTGAGATCTTGTTGTCTTTTCAGTTTTACTTCAATATTTTACTTTTATTTACGGCGGCTACTTCAATATATATATATGTATATCTAGGGATATGTTCTGGTGAAAAAATATATTTAATGAAAGAAATAAGAATAGATGTTTAACGAAAGAAATAAGAAAACATTTGTACCCAACAAAAAAATAAAAATATATCGTAGCTATTAGAGCAAATGATCCACCAACTAAAAAAATTCAGCATGTTATAATATGTACAAGTGGAATAAACCACTATGCACAAAATAATTTCACTCCATTATTTGATGTTATGGGAATAGTGAAATGGGGTGTGGATATTAATAATTGATGTGAATTGTGTCGGGAGAGTTTTGCCTATAAAAGGCACTTCAAGTGTAGAGAAAATTTGCACCATTGAAAGAAAGAAAGAAGAAAGAAATATTCAGTATAATTTCTATCCGGTTTCTATTTTGTGTTCTTTATCTTTCTCGTTTTTATAACACGTTATCAGCACGAGCGCTCTATCCGATCAAGAAAGGTAGGAATATACTAATTATATATGTATGTATATATATATATTACCTAAAATTAGTATATTTTACTGATATACATATTACCATTATTATTGGCAAGTAAGGCTATGCCATACATAGTCAATAATATGTGGTAAGATGATATTATTAAATTTGCTTATGATTACTACTAATTATGATATATAACTTCAAGTTATAATAAATAATATTATTACTTATACTTAACGCCCACAAAATGGTTCACCCAGTAATGTGGTGTGAAATTTATAACTGCTTATATTTGTACCCACCGAAAGATTTATCGAGTAGTGTGGAGTGACATTTTTATTTGTTTTGACACTTATATTCATTAAATTGTTCACATAGTGGCTCGATGAATTTTTAAGATAATATACATGATTAATTAGTGTTTTATAATTATGAATGATTAACTAACAAATATTATATCATTAATTTGTTCCCAACGGCTACATAACGGCTATATTGCAACGGCTACTTATCAACTTATATATATATCACACTACACTTCATATATTAACACTCATTTCAAATACTAAAATATATTTCCCTCAAACGAAAAAAAATGTTTCATCTACTATTTATAATTACCATTATATTGTTTATTTTTTACACTTTGGGAATTTTCACGATGATGTATCATACCACTGAATTTATACTTTATGTATTAGGTTTTTGTATGATGTGCCTCTTATTTGTTTTTCTGTACGTTATGGAGAATTAATGATTGTATAATGTAATTTCTCTAATATAAGCATTGATGTTTTATTTTATAGTTATCATGGCAAATCTGGTCAAACTTGAATTTGAGACTCTTGACATTTCGGGAAAAAATTATATTTCATGGACACTGGATGCCGAAATTCATTTGGCCGCGAGGGGATTGGGAGAAACAATAATCTCCCCAAATAATTCATCAATACAAGATAAAGCTAAAACAATGATATTTCTGCAGCACCATTTAAATGAGGGATTGAAAAATGAATACTTAACTGTGAAAGATCCTGCGGATCTTTGGAAAGCTTTGAAAGAAAGATACGATCATCAGAAAACAGTAATTCTCCCCCGGGCTCGTTATGAATGGATGCACTTACGCTTCCAAGATTTTAAAACTGTAAACGAGTTCAATTCAGCCATGTTCCGCATTTGCTCGGTATTGAAATTATGCGGGGAAAACGTAACTGATTACGATATGCTTGAAAAAACGTTGTCCACATTCCACGCTTCAAACGTACTTTTGCAGCAACAATACAGAGCAAAAGGCTTTGTGAAATATTCTGAGCTGATTTCTTGCTTGTTGCTAGCCGAACAAAATAATGAGCTGTTGATGAAAAATCATGAATCTAGACCCACGGGGTCTACTGCGGTCCCTGAAATAAATGCTGTAATATCTAAACAGGGAACCGGAAATGAAAACAGCCAAACAAATGTGTGTGGATATACCTCGGGACGTGGCCGTGGTCGTGGATGTGGACGTGGACGTGGCCGTGGATATGGTCCAGATAGAAATTGTGGACGAGGCCGAAATTTTTTCCCAGGATACAAATCTGGCTGAGGTAATTATCATGGACATGGAAAAAACGATTTTCATAAACATTCTGAAAATAATAAAGGGGATAACGATGAAAAGGCATGCTATCGATGTGGTAGAAATAACCATTGGGCTCGGAATTGTCGAGCCCCAAGGCACGTGGTTGAAAAATACCAAGATTCCCAGAAATCAAAAGATAAGAATATAGAAACTAATTTTATGGTTGGGGAATCCTCTGAAAATGATGCAACGCGTGTGGATGATGACTATGGCATCGATGACATATTGAAACTGGATTTTGCCGATGCGGCATTTGAAGACGGAGCTGGAAATGACCTAGAGAATAACTGATGATCATGTTTTTATTTTGCTTTTTGGGTTGTAATGTATTTGTGTATAAGCTACTTGTATCTGTACTTTGAATTTGATCAATAATAAATGTTGTTTTCTTTTAGATCATGGATCGGTCTCGAATTCAAGATGGAGATATATGTATTGCAGATTGTGCTACTACTCATACTATCCTCAAGGACAGAAAATATTTCGTGAACTTGAAATTAAATGAAGCAGAAGTAAACACAATATCCGGAAGTGCAAAGATAATTGAAGGTTTTGGAAAAGCCATATTTTTTATGATGGGCGATACAAAATTTATATTAAGTGATGCACTATTCTCCCTAAAATCAACAAGAAAATTGTTGAGTTTTAAAGATATCCGAACGAACGGATACCACATTGAAACGATGAATAAAGGGGGAGTTGAATATCTTTGCATTACCTCAGATGATGCGGGAAATAAATGTGTTTTGGAGAAGTTACCCGCTTTATCCTCGGGTTTGTATTATACCCGGATTAATATAATTGAGGCATATGCTGCAACAAATTCAAAGTCGAATGAAATATTTAAACTTTGGCATGATCGACTTGGTCACCCTGGCTCGATAATGATGCGACGAATTATTGAAAATTCTAGTGGCCATCCACTAAAAAATGAGAGGATATTGCAAACACATGTGTTGACATGTGCCTCTTGTTCTCAAGGGAAATTGATAATGAGACCATCACATACTAAAGTCGGACATGAATCACCATTATTTTTAGAAAGGATTCATGGTGATATATGTGGACCTATTCATCCACCTTGTGGTCCATTCAGATATTTTATGGTGTTGATTGATGCCTCTAGTAGATGGTCTCA